ATATTACATGACTTGCACTCGCAATTCCTTATTATATCAAAATTATATGATTATTTCATCTTCATTCTTCATCCTCATCATATGTCATAATATCTCATACACATCATACACTTGATCATAATAATTCAATAAGATTTCAATTCGCAAAAAGATTAATGCATAGCATTAAAGCTCATATCGTAAGATAAAAAAAAAAATAATCTCATTATTCATACATCATACTCAACTTAATCAATCATGGACCCATTTAATAATTGTAAATACATCAAATTAACATGCAAACATATATAGAGAAACCATGGTTCGAACCCCTTATGCTTAGGCCACGAAAGGCCTTTTGAGGACTTAATTTTGTCTCATTGTCTAAGGCACGGGTGATAATAATAACTCAAGGAGATTAATCCAATGGGAAGCAAATGATCACATTTATTTCACTTAATGGGGATCAAATTATGAGAGAGACATGTATCAAAATAGCCCTTCAAAGTTTGAGAGAGATATTACACAAAATAAAGAAGTTATGATGAAACTACATCATGTGGTCCATAAGGGACTACACGAACTTTTCAACATTAGAAAGGGAACTCAATGGATTATTTCTTATGCTCAAATATGATGAAATAAACATCTCATCAGTTGTATATTCTCAATAAAAAAATTAAGAAAAATAAGATCTAGAAATCAAGTTGAAACTACTCAAGATCATGGAGCAAGCAAGCGAGTCTATACATACTATGTGTATGGACTGCACTATTGCTTTGGGACTCTTCAAATATCAAGTTTTCATGACCAAAAGTGAAGAAAGCTACTGTAAACTAATAATTACACCAAGCTTTGCTAATGGAAATGAGGTAGGAATTAAAAATATGAAAAGAAAACTCAATACCTTAATGAAGCAATAGTATGTGCTTGATCACATAATGATGGACTACTCCATGGAAGAGTTTCATATGAAAGCTCAAGGAAAAAGCCACATTTTTGTCAAGAGCTCTCTCTTTCTCTCTCTCTCTCTCTCTCTCTCTCCCTCTTTTTGAAGTGAATACTCAAATTAGGATAATAATTGATCTCATAAGTTACTTTTATAATTAGATCATAAAGACGTAATTTGATCTTTATTTTTGATGCCTTAGATCAATGGCGCATAAGAGGCTTTTATCCAAGCCACTCATCCATATCTCATCACAAAGATCAATGAATAAGATTTTGACACCTTTCACTCCTCAAAACCTAGGTTTATAGTCATTTTACCTTAAAGCCCTTAGCTCCATGTTTTATTTCTCATTAAGTCCAAATTCATATTTACACTTATACCTATGGTTTTTGAATAATTTATGAGAGTCAATAAAATACAAGGACATGGACATAAAGGTAATATTCAACATCTACATATGTGAATAAAATATCTTATGACACCACTAATAGGATTTTAACAACACTAAAATTTCACATGGGTCAAGCCCATAAGGTGTTGCCACATAAGATATACTCACATGTTATAAAATCATATGTGGATAATAATATGAATTAAATTAATTCTCAAAATTTCATGACTTCACACATGTCAAAAATGATACATATGAGTTAAAAAAAACATGTGACTTAAATCAAACTTAAGTCATAACAATATATAACCCTTTAAATAACAAGATAACATGTTATGACATAATACCAACAAAAGAATTAATGATAAATAGGTCCCCACATGGATATGATGTCAGCATGATATCATCAACGAGTGGAGAGTTGGGTGCCACGTGGCATTCCTATGGCCACTTGGGATCCATGTGGCATCCCTATAGGATATTCTTATTTGGTATTTACGTCAAACAAATTTGAAAATCACATTTTTTATAGTTTTGAAAAATCTAAAAAATTGTCCAAAAATCTCAAAAATTCTCTAAATGATTTCTCAATATTATTACACAATTTCTCATTAATATAAAATATTTTCTCATCAATTTTAAATTAATTTGGGCCAAAGGTAAATGAGATCTCTAGACTTATAACACTAGTCGAAGTCTTCCAGTTGGCTAACCCGAGTGACGTTCCACCAGTGTCTCAAGCCGACCCAATGGACCTATGCTTCATAGTTTATGGCAGGGACACATAATTGGTCACATCAAAGTCGTTGAGCTAGAGCTTCCCGTCACCGGGGGTTTTATGGATTACTGATACACCCATGTGGGACATGTTTCTACTCAAATACAGGGGCTTCTAAGTCGGATAATACTATAGAAAAGTGGCTTCCCCATACAACTGTGGGTGCACATGCCATGGAACGGTCTCGTGTCAGGATACGGGCTCATGTCCCATGAGCCGACCATTCCATACAGGACGAATACTCTTTTAAATACTCGGGTTCTATTATTCTCGATTAGATTCTCCAAAGCTTTGCTTATCATAGCAACTATGAGGCCTTCTAATCAATACATTCATGATTGGGAGGTGACCCTCACACCTCCTCGAGAGTTAACATTCTCAAAACGTATACTCTCACTGTCTCAAATACTCAGGGTATATGAATCTGAGCTCCAATGCGCTAAGCACCCAGATTCAATCTCTCTCTAACTCCCACTGATCGTAAGACTATTAGCTTTAGGGCCTTGAAAGGCCACATAGCCAACAGTGGTCCACATATTTGCATCCATCTTTAAGATTGATGCTTTATACCTCTAGACCACATATTGTACAAATGTGGTCCAGCCCACATGAAACAATTGTTCTTTCTTTAATATACTCAACTTACTCATTATCCTTACTCTATTATACAAATTTTTTTGAGCAATGCCATTTTTATCACTTATAAGGGTAGAGTATATATTTTTATAAGAAACTAGTGTCATTTTATTAATGATAAAAAATAATTAATAATCCATATGGGCGATGTTACTTCTCATATGTGGATCATATCATTCTCTATTATAGTTAATAAATGATTTGTTTTCTATAAAAAATTTCTCGTTTACCCTTGATTAATTACCTAAAATACCCCAAAACAAAAAAGTTACTATATTGTAGGGTTAGAGTACAAAAAATTCAAAAATGTTGAGTACATTAAAAAAATACTCCATATGTAGAAGTACCGTAACAAAATATCTTTTATTTCTATGTTGTTTTTCTCTTTTTCTTTTGGATTTTTTACATATGGACCAGGTAAAACTATCAAATTTACCCTTTGGTCCATAAGTTAGGTAATTCTAATGCGTGCTCCTACTCCCTTGAATTTTGTTATGTTTTTTTTTCAATTTTGCCACCAAGTTGATGCTTCCAACATTGAACCGCTTTTTTTTATATATATTTATGAGGATGATTGATGTCTAAAATATCGAACTATCGATTTTAGGGTAGTCTCATAACTGCGACGTCGGACCGCCCTACATTTTTAGCTCATCTTTCTTTATAGGGCAGCCCAAAGTTATAAACATAAGACGTATTTTTTTTCATAATTATTTATATTTTAATGCTCATAGATTTCTAACATTGGACTGCAAATACTTGGGCAAAAAAAGTAGTTCAAAAGTGGCCCGATGTTCAAAAGTTCGGACTACTAAACATAGAAACCTAAGAAAAACGCTAGTGTAACTTCAGACCTCCCCATAAACAACAATCGGCAGAAAAATGTGGGCGGTCCAGTGCTGAAATGATCTGACCACGCCACAAATATCAAAAAAAAAAAACAAAAACAAAAAAGAAAAAAGTTTGATGTTTGGAACATCGAATTGGGGGCAAAACTGAAAAAAAAAATGGGGAGAAGAAACTCGTAGTAAAATTATTGAACTTATGGACCAAAGGATAAATTTGGTAATTTTACCAGGAATCATGCCTTCTTTTTTTTAAGGTCGGTCCTCAGATGGGGGCTACATCCGTAAATTTGAACTCATAAAAAATACTAATCGATAGTGTTTTTATGTGATGGAGCATATATTCTCAATGACGGGAAAGCTTTTTATGTTCCCCCTACAACATAGAAGTTCTATGTTCCCCCTGCCATTCAGCCGTCCATTTTTTATCAAGAGTGTCACTCACATTTTTTATCAAGAGAGTCACTCACCATTTGATCTTAGATCCGATGTCTCAAAGTATTTTATTTTAATTTTTTTAATACAAATTTTTTTAATATGAAATTTGATATGTACCATCTTCTCATTGGGGTGCACCTATTAAAAATACTAACAATAATTTTTTGATAAAAAATAATGACCAAAATACCCCTTGAAATTTTTAGGGGTATTTTAGTCATTTTATTTTATTGAAAATATTTTTTAAAAATTTTTCGTTAGTGCAAGTTTTAATATAGGAATGGATTTCAAAATTTTGGTGTCAAAACAGTTTATAGAAAAAAATTAAAAATAAAACAATGTAGAGATGTGACATTGTGATTGGGGCAATCTTAGCCCTCCATTCAAAAATGGACGTTGGATAAAGGGAAACATAGAACTTCTATGTTGTAGGGGAACATAGAAAGCTTTCCCCTCGATGACAATTTAATCTATTGGAATGTAACGTACCAATAAAGAGTGAGGTTCACATAAGGTTGCATCCATATACTGTAGAAAGAGCGTCCTTATACTATAGAAAGTAAGGTGTACTTCTAAATTTTTTATGGGGATGTGGTTTCAGTGTTAGAAATCTTATTTGGCTTGTAAATTTTTATTCGACCATAATTGTATAAAATTTTAAAATGGTACATATCAAGCAAGTCTTTAAACAGTTGAAAATAGACGGTTTAGAAAACGTGTTATAAGATGCACTACTTTTTAGACTTAATATTCTTTTTTTTTATTATCTATGCATCTTGAGGTCGAAATGATTGATTAGAAGCTTTTCGGCACACCATTCTTCTACAATATAAGGTCATAATCTTGTCAATGGGGTCCAAACCAAGGAACAAAATAATCTATTTTATTATAGCATACTCGTTGTCAATGGGGTCCAAGCCAAGGAACAAAATGATCTATTTTATTATAGCATACTCAACACTGTATAACATATATGGATGGGGGAATAGAAAGCAGCTCTAATATTATTATTGTTTTAGTCATACAAGAATCATGTGAGACATCCTAGGAGTTTAACTAGACATGCTTATTTGGTTGTTAAGATGGTGTTGCTATTAAGCTTTCAGAGTAGTTCCTAAAGGATTAATAGCTATCTATGCACAACTATTCATGAGATTAATTGCAATAGTTCCCAGAGACCCTAAGCTCCACGCCTGCTCATAACAAATAAAACTTGTTAAGCCCTCCATGCAATAAACTCTCCTAATGGGTGACTTTTACACGTTTACAACCATCTTCTTCATCTTCTCCTCTACAAACAAAGAAAACAAGACAAGTGATAACTATAAAATGGTCCCTAAACCCATTTCCATGAACCAAAAAACCCCACTAGAGAAAGGAAAAGTTTGCATGATACTTTGGTTGAGAGTGGTAGAGAAAAAGAGAGAAAGGATGAGGTCCAAGCAGCTTCTAGTGGTTGTACTACTTGTAGCAATGCTACAGGAAGTCGTCGTGCTGGCGATGCCACAATTGCCGTCATCGTCATCATCGGATTGTTTTGGGTCTCTGAAAGGCATCGCCGGTTGCATGAAATCCGTTCCTGACTTCTTCACCAACTCTGGCACCTTCCCTACTCCAGACTGCTGCAAGGACATCCTGCAAATCGGAGAAGGCTGCTGGGCGGGGTTCATAGCACTCAACCAAGCTGTGATTGTCGAGCTGTCATTCAGATTATGGGGATGAATGAACATACACCAATACCTTGTTCAATAAAGCTATGTTTATGTGTCATGTGATCCTAATAACCTAATCTTTATAGTGTTGGATTTAGTTTTCTGCATTTGATACAACTTGGTTATCTTGATTTGAGGCTACAGCAACTTTTGGGTAGAAAATTTGATGAAATTGGTGATGATTACAATCTTAGAGAGGACATCGAGCGAATGTGTGAAAAATAATCTTTCTATATATTGAATGAATCAATAAGATTACAATACAATTGTGGATTTATAAAGAGGGTACAACCAATACTTACTAAAACTATAGGATACATTTTCTATATAGATATAGCATACAATTAGACACTGATAGTTCTGAATATCCAGTTGCTATATCTGTTCACACTCCTCAAACTCAAGATGATTTGAGAGCAATCATATAGAGTTTGGAAACAAACAGTGAGAAAGGATGCCGGGGATGAGACTTAGTGAAGAACTCGGCGAGTTGTGTGGTGGTGGGCACATAGGGCAAGGAAATGGTGCCTGCGAGATAATATTGTCAAACATAGTGGCAATCGACTTCAATATGTTTCGTGCCCTCATAGAATTCTGGATTTTAAAAATATAAATGGCACTATTGTTGTCACAATAAAGTAGAGTAGGAGTGGAGATAGTGACACCCATGTCTGGGAGCAGCCAACGTAGCCAAACAATCTCGACGGAGGTTTGTACCATAGCCTGATATTCAGCTTCAGTAGTGGACTGAACAATTCATTTTTGTCTCTTGCTTGTCCAAGGGATGAGAGAATCACTGAGAAAAATGTAGAATCCCGTGGTAGATTTGCGATCACTCGAATTTCTTGCAAAATCAGAATCTGTATATGCACGGAGCTCAAGTGAGGTAGAAGAGGAGAAGAATAAGGCATGGTGCCGAGCATCCCTGATATAACGAATGCGTAAAATGGCAGCGAGATGTACAAAACACGGACTGACTAACTATATGTATTGCATAAGCAATATCAGGGCATAAAATTGTCAGATACATCAGTTTCGCAACCAGTTGCCGATGAAAGGTTGGGTCACAAAGAGTTTCTCCATCTGTAGCCCGAAATTTGTCATTGACCTCAAGAGGGTATCAACTTTCTTGGTATCATTCTGGAGTCAAGCTTGAGAAAGAATCTTTGAAGCATATTTTAGTTGTGACAACAAAAAGCCACGAGGAGAATAGGCAACTTCTAGTCCAAGGAAATACCCCAAGAAATCCAAATCTTTCATTTCAAATGTGTTATTGAGCTTCTGTTTGATGTTATTAATTGTGCTCACATCATTACTAGAGATAATCATGTCGTCCACGTATAATAACAAGAGAAACCGTCCTTCAGAACTTTCAAACATAAACAGCGCTCGATCGTGATGACTTTGTCGAAATCCAACCGCAAGAACTTCATTACGAAATTTCTCAAACCACGCATGTGGTGCTTATTTGAGTCCATATAAGGCCCGTCGAAGTTCACACACGCGTTTGTTAGAAACCACAACACCATGTGGTAATTTCATATATACTTTCGTATCAAAATCACCACTGAGAAAAACATTTTTTACATCTAATTGACAGAGAGGCCATTGCTTAATAGAAGCTACTGATATTAATGTACGAACTGTAGTCTTATGAGCGACGGGAGCAAAAGTTTCTGCAAAGTCAATACCATATTGTTGATTGTAACTTTTTACCACAGGCGGGCTTTGTATCGTTCGAGACTGCCATATGCTTTGGTTTTAATTTTATATACCCATCAACAACCTACAACAGTTTTTTCTTTTGAGAGAGGTGTTAGGTCCATTGCTTGTTGCCACTCAGGTTGATTCGCAGCTCTTTTATAAGTCTGAGGTTTAGAAAAAGAATGAACGGAAGGAAAGAATGCTTGGTACAGAGGTAAGAAGATTTCATAATCAGCAAGTCAGGGAGGTGGAACAGATACCCGAGTACTCCATCTAAGAGTAGGGAGATGCAGAGGATCTATAGGTACATGGTTATGATCAGGACTGTCAACATGCGGTGAAGTTCCTTCCTGGACTTCAGAAGGAGGCACACGAGTGGAATAGCCAGAGGAATTAGGAACAGAATCAGAACAGGGGACCAAGAAAGAAAGGTGAGAGGGTGAAGGATTATATGTACTGTCAAAGAATGGAATGTGCTCAGAAAACACCACATATCGGGATAACGAAAGTCTTTTGGTCACAGGGTCATAACACCTATATCCTTTTTTATGATCACAGTAACCGATAAAACAACATTTGATCGTCTTTGAAGATAATTTATCTCTCTCAGTTAGGGAAACAAGGCATGTACAACTAAAAACACATACGAGGGAATAATCGGGTGATCGTGTAAACAATTTTTGGAAAGGTGTTTCGCCAGATAAAATAGAGGATAGCATGATGTTGATGAGAAAGACTGATGTACGAACAGCTTCTACCAAAGAGTCTTTTGGGACAGATGTAGAGAAAAGAAGGGATCTTGTGGTTTCTAAGATATGACGATTTTTTCGTTTAGCAACACCATTTTGTTTTGGTATATAAGGACTGGTTTTGTGGTGTTGAATGTTATGATTAGCTAAAAATTGTTGAAGCAACCCATTGATGTATTCCCCTCCAATATCGGAGTGTAGGCTTTGATTTTAGTGGAAAATTGGCTTTCTACATACGAATAAAACTGAGTGAAGATTTTAAAAAATTCAGTGCGATTATGCATAAAGAAAACTCATGTATAACGAGTATGATCATCAATAAAAGTTACAAAATAACGTGACCCTCCTTTAGATGGAATAGGTGTAGGACCCCATACATCAGTATAAATAATATCGAACATAAAAGGCGAAATAGAACTACTTCGAGAAAAAGGTAAAAGATGAGATTTAACGAATTTGCAAGTTGCACAATGTTGGACATCAATAAAAATTTTATTTGTAACAGTACCAAGCACATTGCAGTAAAATAAAGATTGTAAATGAGAAGTAGAGATGTGACCAAAACGTTGATGCCATAGATATTTGTCATCAACAGTAGAAACAGCACAGACATAAGAGGTTGGCATATGCAGATAGTCCAAGTAGTACAAATTTTCAACTTTACGACCAGACCCAATCACTTGCCCTCATTGCCAATCCGGTACGTAGCAAGAAGATGAAGAAAAAACAACATTACAATTTAAACGGGCAATCTGACCGACAGACAATAAATTCATGGCAAAGGACGGAACATGGTAAATACTAGAAACCCTTAATTTGCCAGAGAGGTCAGAGGTAAGAGATATGAAGCCCATTTGTGATACTTTCATAGCGGTTCCATCAGCAGTATATAGAATATCAAAACAAGGCATAAAATCAACTATAATTGACTCATTGGATGTCATATGATGATAAGCTCGTGAGTCGATCAGTCAAGAGGTAGAAACAAAGTTACCTGAAAAAGACGGAGTGGGTTCAGAGGCCAGGTATGACTGAGAAAGCATTGATTGCACTTGTTCCAGTGAAAATGTCACAGATGGTGAAGCAAGAGTAGGACTAGGACTTCCAATTTGAGTTGGTGGGTACTTGATCAATGGTGGTCTTGTATCAGCAACAACAGCGAAGGTGGGTTTCTTCTCATTTGGGCAGGTGTACTTGATGTGTCCCAGTTCTTTACAACAGTTACATCTAACAGATGTCATGTTCTTGGGAGGGATATAGTACGAATTGCGCTGATTTTGTTTAAGTGCGGTAGGTCTCTGAGGTCTGGTTGCCGCAAAAATTGTTTCTCCTTTAAAACTTGAGTTAAAATATTTGATCTTGGTTTCTTCTGCAATTAGCTCAGAAAGAGCCTGATTCAAAGTAGGGAGAGAGCTTTTGTGGACCAAGCCATTTCTGACACTCTCAAACTCTAGACGGAGAGCCATTAAGAATTCAATAACTTGAAATTCCTCTCGAGATTTAGCAATTATTTCTGCGTTAGGACGATCTTCAATTGCAGGTTCCATAAGTGCTAGAGCATCCCAATGTGTCTTCATGGAAAAGTAAAAATCTTGAATTGATTGGCCTCCCTATCTGAGGGAGCGAAGTTCTTGGACTAACTGGTACTTTCGTGCCCAGTTTGTCTGATTATAAATTTTCTCAATAAACTTCTTGAGCAGTTTTGAAAGTGTTCAGGTTGATCCGTATATTACTTTCAAATGCACCCATCAGTCATGCTATAATTCGTGCATTATTTATACCACATTCTTATATTTTTACTGACTCAATAGGTTTTTTTTGGGTCCTATTTATGTATCCAATGAGACATTTCCATGAATAACATTCTGCATAAATGAGGCCCAAAAAGTGTAGTTGGTGCCATTGAGTTTAATGGGTACATGTTGGAAATACTCGAATTTTTCCATTATAAGGGAAATAAGAGAGAGGTGGATAATAGAAATCCTAGAAAGATGTAGAGGATAGTATGGTCCCTCAAGAGCCTTCACAATCTCTTGTAAACAAAACCAATTTACCCAATACACCACCGAGGTAGAGAGAGAAAAAGTTTGCTGGGTGTTTTTTTTACAGTGAGATTGGAGGGTTAATGGAGGAGGGGCGCTCTCGATTTTGCAAAACGGGTTAGTAACCACCCGCGCCTGTCACCGAAGAAGAAATTCGAATGGGTTGCAGAGGAATAAGCAATAAAATTATCAGAGACACCAGATTTCCTCTTTGAAAGCCCGACCGAAATGGGGCGGTGATGTCCTTGTGGCTGGTTAGAGAAAACCAAATAGGAGGTGTCCTGATGAGAACCCAGAAGATGAAGAGAGAGAATAGGACAAGTGAAAAGAGATGGTTTTTTTTTTTTTGCTGATGAGAGAGAAGAAGATGTTGGGTTTGGAGGATTTGAGAGGAGAGATGAGAATGTTGTGTTGGTGTTATGGGTTTCTGAGGAAGATGAGAGTGGTATGGGTTTTTGAATTACTGTGGATGAAAAGCAGGGGAGAGATTGAAACGGCGGTCATGAGAGAGGGAGAGAATATTGATTGGGTTCATGAGAGAGAGAGACTACAGCGAGAGAAATTTGAAGTCCTTGTTGAGAGAGAGAGAGAGAGCGCCAACCTAATTTTAGAGAGAGAAAGAGAACCACTGGAATATTCTATGCCCAAGTTGCACAGAGCACCTCTTTTTCCCAAAGGCGCCTCTTAGAGATAGTGACAGCGGAAAGAGTAAAGTTAGAGGGAAGGCTCTCCCTTGCGTACAGTTGCAAGAGCGTAAGTTCAGCTGGCGTCAAAGAGAGAGAGCGTAAATCGAAAGGGTTTTGAGAGAGATTTGGGAAAAGATGAGAGAGAAAGGTGGAGATTTGGGGGCAGAGACAGAATAGAGAAAAAGTAGAGAGATGAGAGAAAAAACAAATAAAATACCGAGAGAAAGAAGAGTACCAGTTGTAGAGAGACCGGAGAAGGAGCCGGGTACCAATGCTAGAGACTTTGGGGCCAGAGTGCTTACACAAGGAAGCAAATCAAAGCGAGACCAAGAGCAAAGAACCTCTTTGATACCACGGGAGAAATAATCTTTTTATGAATGAATAAATAAGATTACAATACAATTGTAAATTTATAAAAAAAAATACGATCGATACTTACTAAAACTATATAAGATATAATTTCTATATAAATATAGCATACAATTAGACACTTATAGTTGCTATATTTGTTCACACAATGGACCTACTTGGAGCTTCGCGGATGCCGTAGTCGTGGAAGCCGGGCGGTGCACTAAGAGCAAGGCTGATCTCGATCACTATAATCATGAACTTGAAAAATGAACTTTGAAACCTAAACTAAATTAGTTTAAGTTTTCTTTCTTTTGGGCCATTCATCAATATTCATTGTAGTTCTTCACATATCTTCATTATTTTTGAAAAAAACTCGTAAATCTAAAACAAAGATTCATCCTGAGTGACTTAAGATGTGGTTCAACTGCTAATTTTCAAGAGCAAATGTGTTTTAAATCCTAAATCCATCTCTGCGGTGGATTCTTTGATGGTGAATAACATACTATTTAAACTTTTCCCTTTAGTAAAAGGGAAGACAAAGATTTCCCCAATTGTAAAAAAGATGATATTAATAAATAGAAAAATTACAAGCATACACCTTATAATTCACACTATATAAAAGTACCTAATTTTTTTCTCTTTCTACGTTCATAGGTGTTTTTCTCACATTTTTAAAAAGACCAAATTGCCAATATTTTGAATCTTCAAGATCAGAAATCCACGATGATTTGCTAATAGATGAGTTTTTGGTGTGCACCTATTCAAATGTGATCTTATTCAAATATCTCTCTTAAAGCTAATCTCGACTACTACAATCATGAACCTAAAGAATAACCCTAAAAATAAACTATTTTGATTTATTTTTTTTAGGCCCTTCATAAATATTCATCTTAGTTCTTCGCATATCTGCATTATTTTTCGGAAAAAAACTCAAGCAAAAATTCATCCCGAGTAACTTAAGATGTGTTTCAAATGCTAGCTTTCAAAAGCAAAAGTAAGTTTTAAATGCCACATCCAACTCTACGGTGGATTTTTAGATGGTGAATAGGATATTATTTAAAATTTTCCCTCTACTATATAAGGGAAGAAAAGATCGCCCTAATTGTTGAAAAGGTGATATTAATAATAATAAAAACTTACACGCATATCCCTTATATTTCACATTATTTAAAGGGTGTGGTTTGCATAAAATTGCAATTAAACAATAAAAAGGTGCACCTCTAAATTTTTATCATAAGATATAATTTGGTTGTAAAAAATTCTTAGGATTTCCTGAAAATCTATCTCTAAATCGAACTATAAAATTTTAGATTCGAACTATAAAACTTTAAACTCCAAAAATAGTTCAAACCAAGTAGATCTATAAGCATATGAAAATCTTGAAAATGGGGGTTTAGATAATATGTTGCAAATGCAGTATTTTTGGGACTCTAAATCTTTTTCCTTTTCATATACGTACATCTCGATGTTGAGGTGATCAATTAGAGGGTTTTTCAACATTAAAACAATATTTTCCGATGGATTTTTAGTTGCAACTTTAATTCTACATTGTAAGGTTGCAAGTTTGACATAGGAGAAAAATTCAAAAAACAAAAAAAAAATAGTATATAATCATTTTGATTTTTCTTAAGGATAGGAAGAGCTAATTTAGGAGGGCCTAAGTTTGGTGCGATTTGTTTTGAGAATGTCATCTCTAGTACTTAGTCAGCCTTCATCCAGGATCGTCAAATTACAGACAATGTACTTGTTGCCCAAGAATGTATTCATTCGAGAGTTTTGAGTAAGAAGCCGAGTATTCTACTTTAGTTGGATATGGAGAAAGCCTATAACCGGGTGGAATGGGGTGTTCTCCTTGAAATTCTAAGGGTTAGGGGTTTTAGTGAAAATTGGAGTTGGATTTTTAGGTGTTTCTCCTCTACGCATTTCTCGGTTTTATTTAAGGGTAATCCCATTGGCTTCTTCAATGCCTCTAGAGGATTGCGTCAAGGGGACCATCTCTCTCCGTTTTTATTTACAATCTATGTTGAATGTTTCAGTTTGATGTTAAGTAAGGTGGAAAGTTTGGGTCATTTGCAGGGTTTCATATTCTTATCTCCCATTTACAATATGTTATGACACTTTAATTTTTTGTGATGCGGAGGCCTTTCAAGTGTCAAATATCGCAAGATTCCTGGAAATTTGTGAAGTTACTCTTGGCCTTAAAGTTAATTTTCATAAGTCTTCTATGGTTGGTATTAACTGCTCTGAGGAAGTGATAGTGGAATTGGCAAATTTGATGGGTTGTAAGGTAGGTTCATTCCCTCTTACTTATCTTGGTCTTCCCATTTCTGATTCGAGACTTTCTATTGTAGTTTTGGATATTGTGCTTAAAAGAGTCCAAGTAAAATTGGATCTTTGGAAGCACAAGTATTTGTCGTTGGGTGGGAGGATAACTATGTTGAGATCGTGCTTAGCTAATCTCCCACTCTATCAAATGTCATTGATTAATATGCCTGCTTCAATTGCAAAAAAATTAGAAAAAATGATGAGGGATTTTCTTTAGGGTTCCAGTATTGATAAGAGGAAATATCATTTGCTAAGATGAGATAGAGTTTGTACCCCGAAGAAAGAAGGTGGTTTGGGCATAAGAAGAATTAGAATAGTTAACCAGGCGCTTATGTGCAAATGGTGGTGGCATAGTTTGCATTTGAAAAATCACCTTTGGTTCAAAGTTCTTTTGGCTAAGTATGAGATTGATAGATTTAATGTTTGGCTTGGAAGTGGACAAGGCAAAGAGGTGTCTCATGTATGGAAGGTTATTTACAATTGTAGGCCGATTGTGTCGGGCTACTGCAGATGGAATGTAGGTTCTGGTAGCCAAGTCTCTTTTTGCCACCAAAAATGGTTGGGGGATTACCCATTGAAATCGGTTTTTTCAGACTTATATCGGTTAGTAACCCGACCTAATATGAAAGTTAGTGAAGCATTAGAAATAAGGGGCCATCTTACGTCATGGAACATTTTTCTGACATATGGTCATTTGAGCAATGTCCTTTTATCCCAATTGTGAGCTTTGATGGAGCTATTGGATAAAGCTTATATCTCAGTGAAAGCAGAGGATGAAATTATTTGGGAGATCGAGAGTGATGGGTGTTCTTTATTAAATCGTGTTACAATCTCCTCAGATTGCCCAAATTTGGAAATGGCCCATTCCACACAAAATTCAAACCTTTATTTGGCTGGCATCATTGAATAAGATATTAACCATTAATAATCTGATCAAAAGGGGGAAAATTTTGCCGAATGTTTGTTTACTATGTAAAGCAGATGGGGAATCTGGTGCATGCCTTCTCATTCATTACTCTTGCACTGTAAGAATTTGATATTGGCTTTTTGGGGTTCTAGGGATTAATTTGGTGCTTCCTCAATTTGTTGAAGGTATAGTCTCACAATTTTTTATCTCCTATCTGCCTGAGACTGGCAAATCTATTTAGAAAATATCGAAAGGTGTCATTTTATGGGAAGTTTGGAAGGAAAGATATCGCAAACAATCGATTTGGTCCTGGTTGTCTGTGACAAAAGATGGATGGGGTATCTCCAAGGTTGATATTATGGCTAATCTCAATAGTTTTTTTCTTCTTGGGTGTGTTAGAAGTAAACCACGAAGCTTTTGGACCGCACCTTCTAATGGAAAGCTTGAAGCTTAATGTTGATGGTAGTTCCTTAGGTAACCCAGGTGTAGCTGGGATTAGTGGTGTGTTGAGAGACTCTTTGGGTAACATTCTATTTTCCTATGCATGTCAGATAGGGGTTAAAACTGTAAATTTTACTGAACTGAGTGCCCTACTGAGTGGGGTAAAAATTATGGTTGATAGGAATCTTGGTAGAAATTGTTGGATTGAAGGGGACTCTTTGAATGTCATTAGATGGTGCAAAACGGAGCAAAACGTTCCTTGGGAGCGTTGTTCCCTATGGTTGCAGGTCATGGATTCGGTTGAACCTCTGACAGTCTCATTCTCCTATGCTTATCGTGAAGCTAATTCTTTAGCTGATTCTTTGGCTGATTCCTTGGCTAAGGGGGGTGCTTTTATGCCTTCTCCTGTTATCTCCTTTAATGTAATTCCCTTTTCTTAGTCATTAACAAAAGCTAAGAATATTTGTCAAAAAATGTCTATTTCCTTTGTTTAGGGAATAACATATAGATAAGGTAAATATCTTTTGGTTTGGAAATAATAAGTGGTAGTTATCTTTTATTCTAATGTGGAAGTTAGATAGAAAATAGGGAGAGAGATTTAGGTGGTACCTGAGAGAGAGAGAGAGAGAGAGAGAGAGAAAGAGAGAGAGAACAGGTGAGCGAGAAAATAGGGAGGAGAGATAAAATTAGGGAAAGTATGTAGAAGAGAGAGAATTAGCTTTGTTGGTTTTTCTTCTAAATCTAAAAAAAGAGATTTCCTTTCATTGTAAAGAAATCAGAGAATAAGAGTGGAATGAAATTGATCTTCTTATAAGCTCTTTTTGGAGTGGAGATCTTTCTGGGGTGGATTCCCTTGGATACTTTGTTTTTTGGGGTGGATTCCCTTGCAAAACTTATTTTTGGGGTGGATTCCCCTGCAAAACTGGTTTTTGAGGTGGATTCTAGACCTTGAGAGATAGTATATTCTCTTAATGGTTTTTATTATTCTGGTTATGATTCAACTCTCATTATCTAATCATTCTATGATCTCTTTACAATGAAAGGACATCTCCCTTTAAATAAACTTTAGAAGGAAAACCCACAAACATAATTCTCTCTTCTACATACTTTCCCTACTTTTATCTCTCCTCCCTATTTTCTCTCTCACAATTTCTCTCTCTCACGTACCACCCTATTTTCTCTTTCCAGATGTGACGACTTAGATTTTATAAGCTTAGGGTGCATGTGCGGCAATGAGAAGCAGAAATGCACGTAGCGGTAGGAGTCTGAAGAAAGGGGCAACGCTGTTTGAGGGCAAAGATACCATTGCTGACTATGTAGTGTGTAGCGC